GGGGGGGGGGAGGGTGACAATTGTGGGTGGACATCGTTGGTCCACTATGGAGGACCAGGAGAGTGTTGGGGCTGTTCTTCACATTGTGCCAGGCCTTGCTGCCTCTCCACATAGGGGCTCGGTAAGTAATGAATGAATGCCTCAGTGACTTCATTAGGGGAGGACATTGGAAGTAGAGGAAGGGGAGAAGCAGGGCAGTGGGCCAGTCACAGCCTCTGAGCTGCTGTTTGGCAGAGCCCTGGCAGGTGCAGCTCTGTGTGGTTGGGGACCATTGGCCCACCATGGATTCTCAGAAGGGTCCATGTTACCCTGTCTTTGCCTTCTTAGTTCTGATCTGGGATTTTGCTAGTTTGGGGCCACGGGAAGTGGAAAGTGAGAAAGAAAATATGCTGATCACCCCAGCTTTGTCTTAGTCCAAGGCTTTGGAGGGTTGATAAGAGGCAGCTTTGAGGAAAAAAGAGCTGAGCAGAGATTTCTACAGATAGGCAAAGGGTAGGTGGAGACAACATGCTCCTGAGCATGTCTCTGCTCTGTGCTCCATGACCCTGGCCAGACATGTCCCATCTTTGAAGGAGCAGGAGGAGAAGAGGGGTTGCCACACATACAATGAACTCTACTTCATGTTTTCTATCCCTCATCCTATCAACCACCACAAAATTTCTCCAGCTGGCATTAATAACCCCATTTTCCATCTCAGGAAACTGGGGTTTTGCTAAGCGACTGAGCCAGGATCTCAGCCCTGGTCCCTCTAGCTCCCAAGCCCAAGGCCAGCATCCCCAGCCAAGCTGCAATGGGATGATTTTCACTCCATTTTCAGTGCCATTGTGAGAATAACACAAAGGAACTCATGGGAGTGTGACTTTGAGTCTCAGAGCAGCGTGCTATATGTAAGGGCTTCTCACGATCCCTCAGGATGATCCTGGGCAAAAGGACACTCCCTTTCTCAGATCCAGATGGTCTCCATCACTATAAAGCAAGGGCTCCTGAAGAAGAGCAAACACCAACTATGAACCAGAAGGAAGGTCTCGAAGAAGGGTGGGCTGTGAAGAGAAGTGGGTGCCCCCACCTGTTCCTGGGTGAAACTGGGGGCTTGGTGTGCTGTGACCACTCACTGGCAAAGAACCCTGAGGCCTAAATTGCAGCCTCCCTGCTCTGGTTGGGTGCAAGTTCTTTCCTCACCTCATCCAGGCCACTGGGCCACTTACAGTGCATGAGGGCACACACACACATGCACACACACATGCATGCACACACACACAAACATGCACAGATGTATGCATACATATGCACACACACACATAAATGTGCACAAGCATGCACCTATATACACATAAACATGCACTGCACACATATGCACACACAAACATACATATATGCTGGAACACATGCAAACATACAGGCATATACACGCACACAGGCATAAACGTGCATGTGCATGTATTCACACATGCACACACTTGGCAAGGGAGTTTGGGGGTGGATGCTGGCTTGCCTTCAGGGGTCCTGACACTCTTAGGAAGGCTTTTGCTTGCCCTGCTCTTTGTGTGGCCTCTGTGAGTCAAGATTAGCAACCCTTCTGGGTATCATTAATCCCTAAGTGTCCCAACCCCATACCTCCTTTTCACCCCCAATTAATCCACTTCTCTCCATGTACTGTCCACCTCCCACAACAATCCAGCCTCCATTCAGCCCATTTCTGTCACTGTCACAAATATCATTATCCTTGTACCAGGCCTGACTGAGACCTTAACCAAAAGTCCATGGATGGCCATGGGCGGGCTTTAGGCCACCCCAAGTGTGACTGGGTTATCACTGAGGAGCTGGCTGAGGTGGCGGGACATGCTTCTCCAGGGAAGTTCCAGGACTCTTCAGACGTCAGCTCGCATCCTATGTTTAATTTCAGACCCACTGCCTTTCTATTTATTGCTCTATGTCTTTGGCCACTGGACTATTCACAGAGTCAGTGAACTCCTGGAGATGATCTTAGAGAAAGAGTACCCCAAACCCTCCTGTTCTGAGCTGAATTATGTTCCCCTCAATTCAAATGCTGGAGCCATAACACCCCATAATATTTGGAGATAAGGCCTTTCAAGAGGTCATCAAGTTAAAATGAGGTCATGCGTGTGGGCCTTAATCCAATTTGACTGTCCTTATAAGGAGAGGAGATTAGGACACAGACACACACAGAGGGAAGACCAGGTGAGGGCGAAGACGGCCATCTACATGCCAGTGAGCAAGGTCTCAGAAGAAGCCAACTCTAATGATACCTTCACCCTGGACTTCTAGGCTCCTGAACTCTGAGAAAATAAATATCTGTTGTTTAAGCTCCCCAGTCTGTGGTACTTTGTGTGACAGCCCAAGCCAATTAATACACCCCCAATACATGGACAACTCAGTTCACCCTATGAGAAAACGGGGCTGGGGGGGAGGGCTCAGTGCCATGCTGGCTGATATGGACGCCTGTCTCACAATGCATCCATCTGTGGGGGCAAGTGATGCATTTCAAAGGGAAGTGTGATTGCTGCAAGGTGTCGAGGCAAGGACCCATCAGTGAAGAGTCCTTGGGGGCAGGTAAGCTGTAACAAAGTTAGACAGGGAGCCTCCCGGAGGCATGGGGTATGGAGGGTCTGGGGAGTGTGGGGGATGGCAAACTAGGAAAGGGAGGCAGCTCCAGAGAGGGGAACAAGCTGGCTGGTAATCCCAGGCAGAGCCTGAGCCAGGGGTGTAAGGAGAGAAAGTGTGAGGGACCAGGTCAGGAAGAAGTGGACCTAGATGTGCAGAGTGTTGGGAAGGAAGAGCAAGCAGAGTAGGAGGCTGAAGCCACAGAGTTCTGGAAGCTTTAGATCTCAGAATGGAAGGAGCCTTAAGCTCCTTCTCGACTGCCTTTTGTTTGCAGGTTGGCACCCTGGTGGGGGTGCCCAGCCTGTGTCTGAACACACAGGTGGGAGAGCACTGCCCAGGAGCCCTGGGTTCTGGTCCTGATCTGCCCTGGGCTCCCTATGTGGCCCTGAGCTGGTTATAAGGTAAGCCACGGCTTCCTGGCCTTGTGTTGTCTGGTCCCAGTGGTACTTGGGCCACTTCTGGCTCACCCACACCCCGGTTCCACTTCTAGTGATGGGTTCACTGCTTTCCCAGGACTGTACATCCCACCCCCAGCATTGGGAAGCATCCTTTATTGACGTGAACTAGGCCTCCAGTACCTTCCACCCTGGTCCAAGTTCTTCTCTTTAAGTCACTCAGAGTAAAAACCTCTGCTCTGTGACAGGCCCTTATAGGACAGAGAGTCCCCAGCATAGACCCCTGGTCTTCTTCAGGGGGGACCTCCCAAATCCACTTAACTGCCCTGCTTTCGACAACTCCTCCAGGTCTTTCAACAGCTTGCAGCCCCCTCCCACGCTCCCCTTGGTTCATCAGGGTTCCTTTGAAAACGTGTTTGCTCTCCTGGGCTGCATCCTAAGCTGGTGGGATGACAACCCTTATTCAGGATGCCACAGTCCCTGTCACCCCATCCTCTCGCCCTGTAACCTGTCCTCACATCCTAGCACTCAGGCATTTCAATGTCTACATCCATGACCCAAACTGCTTCTCACCCGAGCCCTTCCCGGGACCCTGTGTGTCTGTCCCCAGAAAACGCCTGGCGGCGGAGCCAGGGTCTGGGCCTGCTCTGGTGGCTGGTTGTTAGAGGGGAGCCCTATTCTTGCTCCTTGAAGGGTTAAAAGAGTCAGGAGCCAACAAGGCCAGGATAGGAAGCTGGCTCCAGGAAA